CTGAAAATAGACATAATTTTACTTCTCTTCCTATTTGGATGCCTTTTATGTCTTTTTCTCGTCTAACTGCTCTGGCTAGAACTTTGAACACAACGTTGGATTATCAGTAGTCAAAGCAGGTAACCTCTTGTCTTGTTCCCAATTTTGGGGGAAAAGCTTTCAGTCTTCCACAACTGAGAATAATCTTAGCTGTGGGCTTTTCATAAATGCCCTTAATCATATTGATGAAGGTCCCTGAGTTCTCAGTTCACTGAGGTCCGTGAGGTCTCAGTTCACTGAGTTTTATCAAGAAAGGTGACAAATTTTGTCAAATACTTTTTCTGTGTCAACTGAGATGCTAAAGTGGTTTTTTCTTCACTCTATTAAGTGGTTTATTACAATGATTTTCTTATGTTGCACAACCCTTGCATTCTGGGGATAAATCCCAGTTGGTCACGGTGTATAATCTTTTTAATTTGCTACTGGATTCAGTCTGTATTACTGTATTTTCACAACTAGAGATACACAAGGGAAACAGACTGCAATAAAACATACTAAACGTTAACAAGTAATTATCTCTACATGGTGAGTTTATGGGTGAGATTCTCTCCTATACATCTTTCTGTATTTCCTACAATAAATACAAGTATTTTTATTTATTTTAAAGATATATTTATTTGCGGTTCGCCTGGGTGGCTCAGATGGTTAAGCGTCTGCCTTCAGCTCAGGTCATAATCCCAGGACCTTGGGATCAAGCCCCACGTCCAGCTCTCTGCTCAGTGGGGAGCCTGCTTCTGCCTGCCGCTCTGCCTGTTTGTGCTCTGTCAGATAAATAAAGTCTTTAAAAAAATTTTATTTGAGAGAGAGAGAGCATAAGTGGGAGGAGCAGAGGGAGAGGGAGAGAGAATCTCAAGCGGACTCCACACTGAGTGTGGAGCCCAATGCAGAGCTCGATCCCAGGACCCTGAGATCATGACAACCTGAACCAAAATAAAGAGCCACTTAAACAACTGCATGACCCAGGTGCCCCTGAGTACCTTTCATTAAAAATAATAATAAGATTTTATTGATGTTAAGGAAAATATAGAGAAATTATAAAATCAACATGAAAGTCAATCAATCCAGTAAAACAATGGACAAAGGACATAAGGAAATCAAAAACCATAATGGCAATAAGGATATGAAAAGGTGCTCAAGCTGCCAGTGACTAGTGAAATACAAAAAAACAACTATCGCCACCACTGTTTTGGTCAAACTGTAAAAACCAAGAGCTGGAGGGTTGCATAAAAATAAGACCTCTGAGAGTGGCTGGTAAGAGCGCAAAATGGCTTAAGTCACTATAGAAACAAATGTAGCAATACCCACATTACATTACCCATATCTGTGCATTTAAAAAAACACAAAGAACCAGGTGCCTGGGTGACTCAGTTGATTGAGCCTCTATCTCTTGGTTTTAGCTCAGGTTGTGATCTCAGCATCCTGGGATCAAGCCCCATGTCGGGCTCAGTGTGGGGTCTGCTCAAAATTCTCTCTCCCTCTCCTTCTACCCCTCCCCACACTTGCACATTCTCGCTCTAAAATAAATAAAATCTTGGGGCGCCTGGGTGGCTCAGTCGTTAAGCATCTGCCTTCGGCTCAGGTCATGATCCCAGGGTCCTGGGATCGAGTCCCACATCAGGCTCCTTGCTCAGCAGGGAACCTGCTTCTCCCTCGGCCTGCCGCTCCCCCTGCATGTGCACGCACATGCTTTCTCTCTCATTCTCTCTGACAAATAAATAAATCTTTAAAAAAAATAAAATAAAAAATAAAAATCATTATTGAAAGAAAAAAGCAAGCTACAGAATAAAAACTACAGTATGCCATCTTCAATATAATATTCATAACCCTATAAGGGCACATGGATGGCTCAGCAAGTGACTCTCCATCTCAGGGTTGTAGATTCAAGCCTCATGTTGTGTGTAGAGTTACTTAAAAATAAAATCTTTAGGGGCGCCTGGGTGGCTCAGTTGTTAGGCGTCTGCCTTCAGCTCAGGTTATGATCCCAGGGTCCTGGGATCGAGCCCCACATTGGGCTCCCTGCTCGGTGGGAAGCCTGCTTCTCCCCCTTCAGCTCCCCCTGCTTGTGTTCCCTCTCTATGTTTCTGTCAAATAAATTCTTTAAAAAATAAAAAAATAATAAAATAAAATCTTTAGGGGCACGTGCCTGGCTCAGCCAGTAGAGCATGTGACTCTTGATCCCAGGGTTGTAGGCTCGAGTCCCACACCAGATATAAAGATGACTCAAAAAAATGAAATCTTTAAAAAATAACAATGATAAAATAAAATCTTTTAAAAAATTGATAACCCTATAAAATGAAACTTTTAAGGCATATGGATACACAAACATGTAATGAAAATATTAAACATGAATGAGAAAAATAATACAATTCAAAGTAATCTCTGGGAAGGAAAGAAGGGAAGGGTACACCTACAATATGAGAAATCTTATTTCTTAAAACAAAAAAACTCATAAATACGTAGTAATTTTAAGATTTATATGTCTCAATTATAAATATACTGTGATTGGTAATAACATTCTCTATACCTGTCTATTTGAAAGACTTCATAGTAAAAATATTTTTAAGAAAATTTAAACCAAAACATTGCCATACGTCAAATCTATTTGAAAAGGAAATTGGCAAATTATGAAAAGGGACTTTTCAGCCATCACTGGAGGCAGCGCCCTCTCTTTCTTGTATGCTTTTTATACCAGTAAATACCTCTGGCAATGAAAATATCTGCTGATGATCCTAGATGATACTGAGTTTCATGAATAAAGACACAACTGGCCTGGTTCAGAAGAAATCATAAACAAAACAAAAACTGTTTATGACACTATGGCGATGAAAATCACAAGAGATTAATATCACACCTTTCTTAGACCTTAACATAGTTGTAATAGAGATCTTCTAATAAGCGTCTCTTTCTTAATAGAGTGACTTCCTCATGCAAAATATGGCAAGAGGGTTTTCACAAAAAGTAGTGATGAAATGTTCTAGAATTAGACAGTTGTGACGGTTATACAACTCATGGTTATACAACCCACCAAACTGTATACTTTAAAAGAGTGAATTTTATGACATGAATTATGTCTCAAGAAAACCGTTTTAAAAAACAACAAGCAATGATGATTCTTCATTTAAAACGGCATTCCACGGGCGCCTAGTGGCTCAGTCGGTTGAGCATCTAACTCTTGGTAACAGCTCAGATCATGATCTCACAGTCACAGGATGGAGCCCCACGCCAAGCTCCATGCTCAGCACAGAGTCTGCTTGGGATTCTCTCCCTCTCCTTCTGCCCCTCCCCACTCTCATGCACGTACACTCTCTCTAAAATAAATAAATAAGTAAATCTTTAAAAAAATAAATGAATCAAAAAAGTGGCATTCCAACATTCCAACAAAGTTCTTATTTTTCCATCTTACTACAATTACCATAAGTTCCTTGAAATCAGAAACTCCTATTTATCTTTGGAAAGAGCACACCATAAATAAAGACAACACAAAATCTACCTCCCAGCTGAAAATCTAACTTTCTCACAATATGATAAACAAAAATTGGTGACAGAAGAGCACATTTTTAAACATATTTTGAGCTGAAGATCTGTATTTTTTTTCCCTTAGTGGTAGAATGCATTGGTAAGCACGACCAAGTGAGATTTATTCCTGGGCTGCGAGGGTAGTTCAATATCCGCAAATCAGTGTGATAAACTACATTACTAAAAGAAAGGACAAGAACCATATGATCATCTCAATAAATGCAGAAAAAGCATTTGACAAAGTACAGCATCCTTTCTTGATGAAAACAGTGTAGGGATAGAGGGAACATAACTCAGTATCATAAAAGCCACATATGAAAAGCCCACAGCAAGTATCATTCTCAATGAGGAAAAACTGAGAGCTTTTCCTCTAAGGTCAGGAACATGGCAGGGATGTCCACTATCGCCACTGCTGTTCAACATAGTATAGAAGTGGGGCGCCTGGGTGGCTCAGTCGTTGAGCATCTGCCTTCAGCTCAGGTCATGATCTCACGGTCCTGGGATTGAGCCCCACATCGGGCTCCCTGCTCGGCCGGAAGCCTGCTTCTCCCTCTCCCCCTCCCCCGCTTGTGTTCCCTCTCTAGCTGTCTCTCTCTCTGCCAAATAAATAAATAAAATCTTAAAAAAAAAAAAAATAGTATAGAAGTCCTAGCCTCAACAATCAAGACAACAAAAAGAAATAAAAGGCATCTGAATCGGCAAAGAAGTCATCAAACTCTCACTCTTCGCAGATGACATGAAACTCTTAGGTGGAAAACTCGGAAACTCCACCCCAAAATTGCTAGAGCTCGTACAGGAGTTCTGCAAAGTGGCAGGATATAAAATCAATGTGCAGAAATCAGTTGCATTTCTATACAACAACAAGACAGAAGAAAGAGAAATTAAGGGGTCGATCCCATTTACAATTGCACCAAAAACCGTAAGATACTTAGGAGTAAACCTAACCAAAGAGGTAAAGGATTTGTACTCAGAAAACTACAGAATACTCATGAAAGAAATTGAGGAAGACACAAATGGAAAAACGTTCCATGCTCATGGATTGGAAGACAAATATTGTGAAAATGTCTATGCTACCTAAAATAATCTACACATTTAATGCAATCCCTATCAAAATACCATCAACTTTTTTCACAGAACTTGAACAAATAATCCTAAAATTATGTATGGAACCAGAAAAGACCCCGAATAGCAAAAGGAATACTGAAAAAGAAAACCAAAACTGGTAGCATCACAATTTCGGACTTCAATCTCTACTACAAAGCTGTAATCATCAAGACAGTACGGTACTGGCACAAAAAAAGACACAGAGATCAATGGAACAGAATAGAGAACCCAGAAATGGACCCTCAAATCTATGGTCAACTAATCTTCAACAAAGCAGGAAAAGCATATCCAACAGAAAAAAGACGGTCTCTTCAACAAATGGTGTTGAGACAATTGGACAGCCACATGCGGAAGAATGAAACTGGACCACTTCCTTACACCATACACAAAAATAGACTCAAAATGGATGAAAGACCTAAATGTGAGACAGGAATCCATCAAAATCTTAGAGGAGAACACAGGCAGCAACCTCTTTGACCTTGACCACAGCAACTTCTTGCTAGACAGGTCTCCAAAGGCAAGGGAAACAAAGGCAAAAATGAACTATTGGGACTTCGTCAAGACAAAAAGCTTTTGCAGAGCAAAGGAAACAGTCGACAAAACCAAAAGACAACCGACAGATGGGAGAAGATATTTGCAAATGACTTATCAGGTAAAGGGCTAGTATCCAAAATCTATAAAGAACTGGGCAAACTCAACACCCAAAGAACAAATAATCCAGTCAAGAAATGGGCAGAGGACATGAACAGACATTTCTGCAAAGACCACATCCAAATGGCCAACAGACACATGAAAAAGTGCTCAACATCACTCGGCATCAGGGAAATCCAAATCAAAACCTCTGTGAGATACCACCTTACACCAGTCAGGATGGCTAAAATGAACAAGTCAGGAAAACGACAGATGTTGGCAGGGATGCAGAAAAAGGGGAACCCTCCTTCACTGTTGGTGGGAATGCAAGCTGGTCCAGACACTCTGGAAAACAGTATGGAGGTTCCTCAAAAAACTGAAAATAGAGCTACCCTATGACCCAGCAATTGCACTACTGGGTATTTACTTCAAAGATCCAAATGTAGTGATCAGAAGGGGCACCTGCACCCCAACGTTTATAGCAGCAAAGTCCACAATAGACAAAGTATGGAAAGAGCCCAGACGTCCATCAATAGATGGATGAAGAAGGTGTGGTATATGTATGCGTATATATATATATATATATACACACACACATACACAATGGAATACTACTCAGCCATCAAAAAAAAAAAAATCTTGCATTTGCAACGACGTGGATGGGGAACTAGAGTGTATTGTGCTAACCAAAATAAGTTAATCAGAGAAAGACAATTATCATATGATCTCACTCATATGTGGAATTTAAGAAACAAAACAGGATCATAGGGGACGAGAGGGAAAAATAAAACAAGACCAAATCAGAGAGGGAAACAAACCATGAGACTCTTTATCACAGGAAACAAACTGAGGGTTGCTTGGGGGTGGGGGGGGATGGAGTAACTGGGTGATGGATATTAAGGAGGGCACATGATGTAAGGAGCACTGGGTATTATATACGACTAATGAATCACTGAACTCTACCTCTGAAACTAGTAATACATCATATGTTAATTCAATTTAAATTAAAAAAAAAAATGGGGGCGCCTGGGTGTCTTAGTTGGTTAAGCAACTGCCTTTGGCTCAGGTCATGATCCCAGGGTTCTGGGATCAAGCCCACATTGGGCTCCCTGCTGAACAGGGAGCCTGCTTCTCCCTCTCCCTCTGCCTGCCGCTCCCCCACTGCTTGTGCTCTCTTTCTCTGTCAAATAAATAAAATCTTAAAAAAAAAAAAAATGCATGGTGAGAATTCAGGTTACCAATTACTTCTGAAAAACCAATTTTTCTAAAAAGGCCCTACCTCCCAAAAATACCTATCTACTCAAATAAATTATAAGGGATGGTTCCCATTGTCCTTAAAGAACCTAGACACATTTCCTTACCTTTATATAATACTCAAAAAGCTTCAGAACTAAAGCAGATTCTCATCAACTCAAGACAGGCACCCACACTTTCAAGTAAACAGAAAGAAGAAAGCAGACCTGTGGGGATGGAGGGCCTTAGGGCCTAAGTAGTAACTTCCTATTTTCATGACTTGGTGGAAAGGAACAAGGGTTTGACCAAGGCTCAAAGATAGGCACAAACCTGTTCTTCTTCTGTAAAGGGTACAAGAGCCAACGGAGGCAGGGGCTCCTCCTGTAGGATAGGCAGAAATTCTTTATCCAGCAGGTCTGAAGGTATCTGTATGACCAAATACATGACCATGAAATTAATGCTATCCCTCCAATTACAAAAATTATAAACCAAGAAAAAACACTCTTTAGTCTATATCTTGGTGATTATTATAAACATGGAGTAAAGCTTATTCAACCACAATTACCTTTAGTAGTACTTACATACTCTGAGAGGGTCAAATATTAAAAACCCCAGGCACCTTCCTCTTCCTCCCATCAGACCACCACTTTCAGATTTGATATACAGCACTAACTCTGGTATTCCAGAGTACAGAGTGGAAGATTAAATCCTCACGTTTAACTAAAGGCACAAGGTACTAAAGAGAGTTTCATAAACAATTTTATCTGTCCTTAGCAACTATCATTAAAATTTGAGATCCCCAATCCATTAATAAAAGTAAAAACAAGGTATATTTTAAAAATACAAAATACCTCTCACTAGTCAGACAGTAAGTGTACTTTACACTGTTTGGGTTTTGATCATTTATAAATGACACAAATATGATATATTTTAAGATATTCTCAACTAAAAATTGTATATATTTAATAAAAAAAGGGAATGAAGAAGAGAAAGCTCCTCTTCTAACTTCTAACTGAAGAGTAAAAGGTGCAACAAAGAGTCTTCCATTCTCAGCCATCAAATTGGGATAGAAATAGACATGAAGGAGGCATTAAGAGGAAATTAAAGTAGTAAGTGCTGAATGTTCCTGTTTCCATAAAGCTTTCTACTCCTGTAACAAAATCTTAGGTCTTCTCTAAAAAATACGGAGCTCCTTACACTTAGAAGATGCTCTGTCAATGACTGCAGGTTTCAAAGCAGGAAAAAAGACAAAAACCATGGGTACTTCACCTATCAATACATCATTGTACATACCCTGAAATCACACTCATAATTCTCAACTATTTACTTTTCTCTTACCTTGTTATCTTTAAGGAAAAGTGCTAACATTTCTTCTCGACCATAACGATAGTCTGCTAATTTATACTTCGGCAAAGCTGGAGAAAGAGGAGGGGACGTGACACTCCCACCACTGGACAGAGCTCGGAGCCTAGAATAGGAGAGACATAAAATATAAAATTGAAGTGTCAAATATTCTGGCACTAAGAACTTTTATTTTTATACACTATGAAAGTGTTCATTTTAGTTCTTTAAAGGAACAGAAAGAAATCCCATTTTCTCAAGGTATCCAAGATTTTAGCTTTAACATAACCAGAGCAGTTCATTGAAAAATAACTAGACGACCATGTGACAACTCCTTACGTAAAAGGTTATCATGGCATGTCCCTGAGAAGTCTGGGGGTAAAGAGGGGACACTTTTTCAAAATCATAAAAGGATTAAACATGATTAAAACAAAGGTGAAATATCACCTGATACCTATTAGATTAATAAGAATTAATAAATCTGACAATACCAATTAATAAATCTGGAATACCAGTTGTTGGTAAGGATGTAAAACAATGGAAACTTTCAAGTAGTATCTGTGGGATTACAATGGAACCACCACTTCAAAGAATGATCTGCTAACATTTAACAGAACCTCAATATTTGTTAAATAAGAAAGTATGCTTATATAAAAGAAAAAGGGAAACATAGAAGCTTATAAAAAAGATATACATGTAAACCTGCAAATAAATTTATACTGTTTAAGAACACATATAAAATGTAGGGGTGCCTGGGTGGCTCAGTTGGTTAAGCAACTGCCTTCGGCTCAGGTCATGATCCTGGAGTCCTGGGATCAAGTCCCGCATCAGGCTCCCTGCTCAGCAGGGAGTCTGCTTCTCCCTCTGACCCTCCTCCCTCTCATGCTGTCTCTCATTCTCTCTCTCAAATAAATAAAATCTTTAAAAAAAAAAAAAGAACACATATAAAATGTAGCAAAAGTATAAAAACAAACATGAACAGACAAAAACAAAATTCAAGAGAAGGTTCTATCTGCAAAAGGAAGGAGATTGTATAAAGGCTGTTTTAATTATACCTGCAATGACTTATTTTCTCAACCATGCTGTATAAAAATGTTTGTTACAATTTTATACTTTTATATGCCTATAGTATTTCATGGTTCATTTTTACTGAAAGCAATTAATGATCAGTATATTGAATTTGAAAATGCAGTGAAGAGTTAAAATACAAGAAAAAAAATTTTAAGCCATATTTACTTCTAGGAAAAAATAAAAATATACTCCAAGAGGAATGGAACTGGGGAAGGAGGAACATTTATAAGATTCTTTCATTTAGAGAAAAAAAAAAGTTGGGTGAACCTCAGCAAAAAATGGCAAAAATAAGATCCCACTGAAGCTGTGTCAAACAGCAAGTAGCAAAACTACTATCAGCAGTAGCTCATTATCTGAGGACTGCTTGAAGTTCTATAAAGTAATTAAGTATCAAGGGTAAAGGGGACCAAGGTACTTCAGTAGCTTAGCCTAAAGGAAAATTCAAAAGAAGCATTAAAATATATTCCCCAAATTGCTAAGCTTTATTCACATAAGCAAAAAAGAGAATGATCTAATAAAAAAGCTCAGTTCATGAGCTTTTAAGAATTAATAAATCTGACAATACCAATTAATAAATCTGGAATACCAGTTGTTGGTAAGGATGTAAAACAATGGAAACTTTCAAGCAGTATCTGTGGGATTACAATGGAACCACCACTTCAAAGAATGATCTTTGGGGAATGATCTTTAAAAAAATATGAAGGAAAGCAGAACATTTCTTGCATGTTATTCAAAAGTTATACATGCATAAATATAAAAATGTGTTTACATGTACAATATAATACCAAAAATAAAGGAGGGGGATGTATTAATAAACTCAAGACTGTTACGGTATTTTTTCAATGTTTCTATCTTCTCTTTCTACTTACTTTAACATTTTATTTATGGACAATTTTGAACATATATAAGAGTACCAAGAATTACATAACAAACTCCCACATACCATACTCACCCAGACCCCAAATCAACCCTGCTCCTTCTACCACTCCATCTAACCCTCCTCTGATACTATTTTGAAGGAAATCATATGCTTTCAAAGATTTTTTGAAGGAAACTGTTTTCACAATTTTTGCGGGAAATTTTTGAAGGGAAGTTTTTCATCAGTAAATACTTCAGGATGTTCTCTCCAAAAGAATTTTTTCTAGTCTGGACTTTGCTGATTTTCATCTCTGTGATATAGCTTAACACGTTTCTCTGTTCTCTGCATTTCATGTACATTGGTGACAGGATGTAAAGACCTGATCAGCTTTGAAAAGACTTCTTCCATGTAGTGGTGTGTTATGCCATCAGGAAGCACATACTGCCTGGTTGGTTTTTTGAGTCTAGCAGTCCTTAATGACCAATACCAATGCGTAGGTCCCTAAGTTCATTCACTAAGGTTACAAAGTGACTTTATTCTATCATTCCTTCTTTACTAGCTCGAGTATTTCTACAAGGAGAAACTTCTCTCTTACACTATTTGGTATTGTTACCCAATAGTATGGTTCATATAGGAAAGGGAAAAAAAAGGTCTTGATTTTTTTTTTTTTTTAATGTTATGTTAGTCACCATACAATACATCATTGGTTTTTTATGTGATCTTGATTCTTTTAGTTTTCAAATTAGGGACTTGATTCACTAGCATCTTCCAATGGTAACAAATTTTTTTTTTAAGATTTTATTTATTTGACAGAGACACAGTGAGAGAGGGAACACAAGCAGGGGGAGTGGGAGAGGGAGCAGCAGGCCTCCTGCTGAGCAGGGAGCCCGATGCGGGGCTCGATCCCAGGACCCTGGGATCATGACCTGAGCCGAAGGCAGATGCTTAATGACTGAGCCACCCAGGCGCCCCAACAAATTATTTTTAATTAAGGTATTTCACCATAATTATTATTAACAATATTCAAATCCTCACCTTTTAAGTAGGCTGCACACCTAATGAGTGGCTTGAATTCACAACCCTGAGATCAAGAGTCACATGTTCCACTGACTGAGCCAGCCAGGTACCCCTCAAATTGTCTCTTTGACCAGTGGGAGACTCTTCAGGTTGGCTCCTAAATCCTTCTGACACAACCCTAGCAGTCTTTAACAGCTTTTTTTCTATCTGGTATGTCAATATGTTCCAGGCATAGCTTGTATTATTTCTTGCCTCAGACCTAGAATCAACCATTTCTCCAGGGAGCCTGATTCTCTTTAATGCATATTAAAAGCACAATCAGGGTGCTAGGAGTGCTTATTGCTATTAGGCTGGTCTTTTGTTTTCTTTCCAATTATTCTTAGACTTAGAGGTCATTTAGTCCAACTCCTGTAAGACAGGTTGGAACAACCAGGTAAGAAAACAATATACACATGAAAAAGTAATCCAGCCACTGCTGAAGGACCTTCCAGGAAACTGCTTTCCATCAAATTCATGTAAAGTTGGGCATTTTCCTGAAAAAGTAGAATACCCACTTAGAACTGAGGCTGGGAATTTTACACATGAATTACCTCATTTCATTTAATTTCAGCTTCACAACAACCCTAATAACAGACGAGGGTTAAACAACTTGCCCACACTCACAGCCAGCAAAACAAAGACTCAAACCTAGGTTTTCATGACTAAAAAGATCAAAACCCAAAATTTTATTTAAAATAGGCAAGGTTTGGGATTCCTGAGTGGCTCAGTTGGTGAAGCGTCTGCCTTCGGCTCAGGTCATGATCCCAGGGTCCTGGGATTGAGTCCCAAGTCGGGCTCCTTGCTCAGTGGGGAGCCTGCTTCTCCCTCTGCCTGTGCTCGCTCTCAAATAAATAGTAAATAAATAAATAAATAAAATAAGCAAGGTTTATTTTCCCAAACATTAATCTTTTAATTTTTTTTTTTTAAGTTTCATTTTATTTGTTTGAGAGAGAGAGAGAGAGCACAAGAGGGAGTAGGGTCAGAGGGAGAAGCA